CCATTAAATAAACATTTTACCCATTACATAAAGTCTAGAAATCAAACACGAGTAGTTTAATTGGCATCGGAATCTGCCCCGAGCTGGGATTCCATGTTTGCAACGCCTTTAATGAGTCAGCTGCTGATTGCATCTCAATTAACAGCCCTTCCCTTGTCCTGGGACTGAGCACAGGGTAAGACAAGGATGCAGTGACCTCTGGGGTTCAGAGCAGAGTTTTTCTCATCCTTGGAGTTTTCTCCCCACTCCCAGGAATTCTCCGTTTGGGTGGCAGGTGGTTCAGGAGCCTCAGTTGCTGCCATTGGAATTTTTCTGTCCTTTTCTTCTTCAAATTGTGTCAGTGAACTTCAGAAAATGTCACAGGCACATCCCCAGTGTCGCAGTGGCCAGAAAATGATGATTTTTATATCAAATTGCCTCCATAATCAGGGGTCACAGGACCAGAGGCTGCTCCAAAATAGAGACAGAAAAAGAAGGAGAAAACCCCCTAAACTTTGAGACATTTTCGGATCTTTTGCCTGTGTTTTTTTCTTTTCCTTCCAAGTCCAGGGAGAATTAAGGAATTAAAGGTTAAAGAATTGTCCTTTGGGGTTTCATAGAACCAGAAAATGGTTTGGGTTGGAAGGGACCTTGAAGATCTTTGATTTATGGGCAGGGACTCCTTCCCCCATCCCAGCTTGCTCCAACTTGTTCTTGGATAATTCCAGGGATGGGGCAGCCAGAAATTCCCTGGAAAAGAGAATTTCCCCACTCTCCCAGGGTAGAGTGGGTTCCTCTGCAGGAAACACTTTAAAACTCTAATTGATTTTGATTTATTTACGGGAAAGTTCAAGGAACTCACAGAATTCTACCAAAAATTTGCCTTTCAGGTAAAAATTCCTGTGGGAATTTCCAGGGGAAGTTTTCCAAGGAAAGTTTTTCCCCCCAGGCTGTTTTTAAACAATGAAAAAACTGTAAAATTACTGTGTGGGGATCTAATTAAATCAGGAGCCCGGGGCAGGCATTGAGACACAAATAATCCGAGTCACCCGTGTTTGACTTTCTTTGGGAACAGGGAACAGCCACCCCTGCCCTGAGGGAAGATCCGAGTGGGACTGGGAGGGTTCCAAAACCTCTTTATCCCTCTTGGAATGACTTTGTGTCACCGCGGAAAGGTGTGGAAAGGCACCAGAAGTCGCCACGCTCACCCAGACTGGCGGAAAACCCCCAAAATTATGGCTAAAAACCACAGGAAAACTCTGGATTTTGATGCACAATGGTTTAATGAGAAAGGAGGAAGCGAAATATCGCAGTGGGTATGGAAAACCCCGGGGGAAGTGAAGGAAAAAATTCGCTCCAGGGCTGGGCATTCCACAGGGATGACTCCTGGGTTTTCGGGTGTGGGAAGGTGACACGACCTCATCCCACGTTCAGCCAGCCAGGGATCATGGATGGGACCATTCCGAGGTCGTTTTTTTGCAGGAGTCGCGGGGGAAAAAAAAGGAAAAGAAAAGGGAATTTACATAAAAGCACGGGGCACGGGAACTGCTGGGATTTGGGGATGAAGATGCTCTGGGAACTGCCGGGATTTGTGGAGGCTCCGTGGTGGCTCTTGGCTCCTTCCTGCTCATTCCTGGGATGTTTAACAGGGTCTGCAGCTCCCAGAGGATCCGTAGGAAGAGTAGGACCTCCCGTAACTGTAGGAGCCGTAGGAACCCCCAGATCCCAGGAAGTTTCCAGATCCCAGGAAGTTTGAGGGTGCTGAAGACCCCACGATGCTCTCCTGGGGGCAGGAGCTGAGGATGGGCCCCGGGAAGGTGATGACCACAGGCGGGGGGTGGATGACAGCGCGGGAGTCCCCGCAGGAGGTGACACAGGGCTGGTTCCAGGTGTCGGCACAGGGCTGGGGGCAGGAGATCGCACAGGGGGCCAGGCAGCGGGAGCTGGAGCTCTGTCTGTAGGAAGACATCTTCTGGGATTGAGGATGGGTCTGGAACCACAAAGCCGAGGCAGCAGGAAGGTCGGAGACCGATTTAGCGGAGGTTGGGCTGGGAAGAGAAAGAGCGAACAGCAAAAAGGTCACAAAGAGGCTCAAAATTTGGGGTTCTCCATCTTCTCATGTCCTTGTCTCCTGTGCCTCCCGACTCTTAATTATGGAGTCAATTTGACACAAAAATACCCCCCAAAATTAACAGTAAATCCCAAATTAACAGTAACCCCCAAAATTAACAGTAAATACCAAATTAAGAGTAAATCCCAAAATGAACAGTAACTCCAAAATGAACAGTAAACCCCAAAATTACCAGTAAACCCCAACCCCTGCCCTGGCCCTGCTGGCCCCACAATTCTGGATCCAAGCAAAGCTCAATTCAGATCCCGACAGTTCCAGGAACAATTCCAGGCTCGGACTTACCCCTGTGGAGCTCGGAGCGAGTCTGGAGGGTTTGCTGGAGCAGCCCAGAGACAAGAGGGTTTTTATACCTTTTCTTGGGCAATCAGCTGGAGCTGAAACATCCACAGCTGATGAATGATTCAAGAAAAATTCCCTCCACCTCTCACTGGCCCAGATAAAGTGATTATTTCGCTCAGCAATTATTACTGTTGTTGTTACATCCATGGCATTGCTCAGGCACAGTAATGATTTTTTTTTTTTTTTAATTTTCATTGTTGCTTTTTCCTACTTCTGGGATTGCTTCACGATTGCTCAGAGCTTGATCCATCAGCACGAGGTGCTGACATAGCACGGATTCCACCCTGCTTTTTCCGAGGAAAAGGGAATTGTGCAATTTCTCCCATTATTGACCCACAGTGACTCTGGCTCGAGGCACGTTTGTCCACAGGCGCCTTCCTACGGAATTCGGGAATGGGAAGAGCTCCTTCCCATCCTTCTTGTCAAGGAACACTCCCAGCTTCATGAAATGTCCAGGGGGAGTAACCGGGGAGTTTTCCAGGAGAAATCCACATCCACTTTTTTCGGGAATCTGTGGGATCAGCACTGCTGAGGGAGGAGGATTCATGGATTGGGGTGAGCCAGGTCAGGGAGGAGATCCATGCATCACCCCTGGAAAACCTGGGAATGTCCAGGTGCAGCTCCAGCTGAGGCAGAGGTCTGGCTGCAACTTCAGCAGATTTGCTCCTCAGATTCCTCCCTCTCCAGTCATTCATGGATTACATTTCCTGTTGTGTCTCCATTTTCCATACCCAACATTTTTCCCAAATTTCCTCAAAAAATGAGCTTTCCTCCCCCAAATTCCCTCCCCTTTATGGAGTTATAAACTGAACAGTGGGGTTTTGAGTAGCCCTGAGAATTCTGTCCCAAAATGTCCATTTTATTCCATTTTTTCCATTGGTAATTGTTAGGGTAGGAAGCCTGAGGGAGCTTTTCTTCGGAGTTTTCCCAACCCTTGGAATTTTCAGTTAAGAGGATTCACCCAAACCAAAACCAGGACTAGGAAAAACCAGGGAAGGAGAAATTGTGGGGCCACAACCCCAAGGAGCTACTCCTGCCCCAACCACAGCTGGAAATCCCTGTCGCAACCTCCCTATCCTCCTAAAAGGGCAAAAGGAGAAATCCGTTGGGATCAACCCAAATGAACCCTAAAATTCTTCCTTTTGGCTCCTGGTCTTTGATTGTCCCCCTCTGCTCTGCTGTGTTGAGATCCCACCGGGAATTCCGTGCTCAGTTCTGGTGTCCCCAAGCCATGAAGTTGCTCACAGGACTGGAGCAACTCCCTGTTGGATCCAGGCTGGGAATGTTGGGAATGTTGAGCCTGTGGAGACCCCAGAGCCCCTCCAGGATCTGCAGGGGCTCCAGGGAAGCTGGAGAGGGATTTTTCCTCAGGAATTGCAGGGACAGGACACATGGAATGGGGTCAGGGGGACAGAGGGGGAATTTGGTTGGAATTTTGGGGAGGTATTGTTCCCTGTGAGGGTCTGGCCCAGGAAATTCCATGGATTCTCCATCCCTGGAAGTGTCCAAGGCCTGGCTGGTCTATGGAAGCTGTCCCTGCCTGTGGAGCAATTCCACAAAAAAAAAAAAAAAAAAAAAAAAAAAAAAAAAAAAAAAAAATCCCCAGCATTTTTACCAACTTGGCAAAATCAGCAAAACGCTGCAGGAAGCGAAACCACTTCCAAAAAAACTCAAGGAAGAAACTGGAGGGTGTTGGGAGAAACTGATAATTGTTTTGAGGCGGATAAAACAGTCGGAGCCCGGGCAGGGATCGCCTCCCCAGGGTTGGGAAATGTTGGGGATGGCTCAACCCCCGCGGGCAATCCCGGGATAGGATAAAAGGCTCCCGGCTCCCAATTCCTCCCATCCCAGCTCCGGATTCCTGAGATTTCAGCTCCTCGGGCTTCTCCTCTTCGGGATCTGAGTGAGTCTGGGGGACTCTTTGGGGGTGGCCGGGGTGGGAGTCTCTCCTTGGGGAGACTGGGGGAGCCCTGAGGAGCTGCCTGGGAAGAAAGGAGGGAAAGGGACAGGGAAAAGGGAAAAAGAGAGAAAAATATGAGGTTTTGGAGAGAAACTCTTTAGAAAGGAGGGAGGAAAGGAGAAGGAGAGGGACAGGGAGAAGGGAAGGAAGGAGAAAAATCAGAGTTTTTCCAGAGCAGGTGGGAGGGAGGGAGGGAGGGAGGAGAGAAGGACAGGGATAAGGGAAAAAGAGGAAAAATCTGAGATTTTGGAGAGGAGATGCCTAGAAGGCATGGAAGGAGGCATGAGGAGAGACAGAGGGAGAGGGACAGGGAGAAGGGAAAACAAGAGAGAAAAATCGGAGTTTTTGCAGAGCAGGTGCTTGGGAGGGAGGGATGGAAGGAGGAGGAGAGAGAGACAGGGAGATGAAAGAACGAGCAAAATCTTCTGAGATTTTGGAGTTTTTGGAGGGAGGGATGGAAGGAGAGAAGGAGGGAGGAGGAGAGGGACAGAGAGAGAACAATACGAGCAGGGGCTCTGCTGCGCTGGTTTCCAACCCTGTCTCCTCCCCTCCCTCCCCTTCCCGCAGCAGTTCCAGCTCTCTCCTCCCAGGATGTCCTTCTCCAGCCAGCTCAGCTCCCGCTGCTCCGCGCCCTGCGCCGTGTCCTGCCCCCAGCCCTGCGCCGACACCTGGAACCAGCCCTGTGTCACCTCCTGCGGGGACTCGCGGGCCGTGGTCTACCCTCCGCCCGTGGTCATCACCTTCCCGGGGCCCATCCTCAGCTCCTGCCCCCAGGAGAGCATCGTGGGGTCCGCATTCCCAGTGGGAATGGAGCGCTCCGCGGGCCTGCAGGGCTCCCTGGTCTATGGAGGCTTCTTGTCCTCCTCCAGGAATGCCTGGAGCCAGCGCTCCGGGGGCTGCGGGCCCTGCTGAGCCGGGAAAGGGATGGGGAAACCTGGGGGAGCGGCAGCAGGAGCTGGGGCAGGAGCTGAGCTGGGGGACGTGGCTCCGTGAGGCCGGGAGATGGTCAGAATCCATGGAAATATGTTCAGGATCCATGGAAAATGTTCAGGATCCATGGGAGCTGCTCAGAATCCATGGGAACTGCTCAGAATCCATGGAAAATGTTCAGAATCCATGGGAAATGTTCAGAATCCATGAGAACTGCTCAGAATCCATGGGAAATGCCCAGCATCCATGCAAACCCCTCAGCACCCCTGGGATCTCCTCAGCACCCTTGGGAGCAGCTCTCCCTCTCCCCCTTCTTGTTTTTAATGTCATTTTTCTCTGAATTTGCCTCTTCCCTCCTCAGCTGAATTGTTTGTCCACTTTTATCCCAATAAACTTCTGTGTTTGCATTCAAATCTCTTGGATTTCTTCTCTTTTTTTCATAAAACCTCTGCAAACCCATGGGACCAAAGTATCCCATTATCCCAGAGATCTTGGGAGGAGGGTTTGGCTCTTCCAGGGAATGTTCTTATGGATTCACCTGTCAGAAAATTCCCATTTCACCTTCGCAGGGAAAAAGGTGGGGCAGAGCTGCGCAGTCTTTGGAAAAAAATTCCATGAAAAATTACATATCCACTGCAGAACTGCTCCAAGATCTCATCCCACCCGAACAGAAAACTCCAAATCGTGATGCAGAAAGGATTTTATTGGGGCCAAGAAATGGGATTCATCCCGTGACAGCAGCGCCGCCCGGAATTCCAGGGAAATTCAGAGGGAATTACAGAGGAATTCGGGCAAATTCACAGCAAGGCAGAATCGATGGGAGCTGCGAGCGGGGATCCGATCCAGAGGGAACTGCGGGGCTGGAATCACTCCTGGGATGGTTCCTGGGATCATTCCTGGGATGAAGGAGCGGCCCCGGCCCCTCTCGGAGCCTTCCCCTCGCTCACAATTTGCAGATTTACTCTTTTTTCTGCTGGTTTTGGTCATCCAGGGATCCTTTGCCGGGCTTAGGAGGGCGGGGGTGGGACGGGAAGGGATTTCGCGGGTGGGACGGGAAGGGATTTCGCGGGTGGGACGGGAAAGGATTTCGGGGGTAGGAGGGGTAGGAATTTTGGGAATGGCAGGGGTAGGAATTTCGGGAAAAGCAGGAGGAGGAGGAGTAATTCCAGCCACCAGAAGAGGCTCCGGGTTCGCAGGAGCTCTGGACACCTCCGGGCTCGAAGGAATTTCCCATTCCCGCTGGGAATGGGGATCCCACGATGCTCTCCTGCGGGCAGGAGCTGAGGATGGGCCCCGGGAAGGTGATGACCACAGGCGCGGGGGATGGATGAGAGCCCGGGAGTCCCCGCAGGAGGTGACACAGGGCTGGCTCCAGGCGCTGGCCACGGGCTCTGAGCAGGACACGGGGCAGAGCGGCTGGGAGGACATCGCGGGGCTGGAGGTGACACAGAGGGGACAACGTGAGCAAAGGGGAACCCTCATTTATTAACTATTAATTATAATTATTAATTATTAATTATTAATTATAAACTATAAATTATTCATTATTCATTATTCATTATTCATTATTATTTGTTTGTTATTTGTTATTATTTCATCATTATTAATTATTACCCTTATTTATTTATTTATTTATTTATTCGAATATTCGTAATTTCCAATGTTCGTATATTCCAATATTCGCATTTCCAATTTTAATATTTTCAGTGTTCATAGTTCCAGTGTTCATATTTCCAATATTAATTAATTAATTAATTAATTAATTAATTAATTAATTCATTCATTCATTCATTCATCTTTTCATTCATCTTTTCAATATTTGTCTTTTCCATATTCGTATTTCCAATACTAATCTCTTCAATGCTCATTTTTCTAATACTTATATTTCTCATATTCATTTATTAAATTAATCTCAGAATTAGCGAGTTTTACCCCATTTATTTCCGACTGTTCTGTTCCCAAATCTTGAACCATCTCCCACCGCTCCTTGTGAATTTTTTAGAGGCAAATCGAACAATTTCGGAGCTCAAACCCTGCCCGACCCCCCAGACCTGACTTACGCGGTGGCACAGCAGGAGATGGGATGAGAATCGCAGAAAAATGATTTAAAATCTCTCTGCAGGAGCTTTTATATAGCTCCTCACTTCGCCCCGGGGGAAGGGAACCACTCCTGTCCTCTTTGTCCCCATTGTCCCTCAAATGCGTTTTTCTTTTTTGCTTTTGTCTCTCAATCAAGGTAATTGTGGCCATTGTTTCTCCCCAAACTCCACCTGGCGCTCCTTTAAATCCCGGAGATTTCGGGATGTCAGACAGGGAGGGCGATTCCCACCCTTGGCACAACTCCCGAGCTGAAGATTTATTTTGCTGCGAGCTTTCATATCGATATTTCCCCCCCATATTTTACCAAAAATCTCCCAATTCAATATCCCCGCTCGGATCAGCCTCTCCATCCCCTGTTTTTGTTTCTCCAAACAAAGAATTCCTGGCTCAGAGCCGGAGCAGGGGATGAAAGGAGCGAGGCCTTGGGCTCCTCCCTGGATCTCCTTCCCCTCTGAATCAACAGCCGGGGCTGGGATTTCACCTCAGACTTTTTAATAAACCCCGTGAGGAAATCGGCACCAAAAATTGCCCAATTCCCGCGGGGTGTCGGGAAAACGAGGGGTTGGGTGCGAAAAACAAGGGTTTGACATCGCCCGAGATCAGAGAGCACCGAGATGACGAGGGGAGGAATAAAATTAAAATTAAAATTAAATTGTTTTGGCAGCAGCTCCAGCCGGTGCCTTCACAGGGGAAACGCGATTTCCAGGGAAGGAGCCACACAGAAATCCACAGATCATTCCCAGCCCCTGAGGAGGAGGAGGAGGATGAAGGTTTCGGGGTGAGGATGAAGAAAGACAAACAATGATTCAGGAATTTGGAGATGTTTTTGACAGAGATCTTTGCTTCTCCCATGGTCACTCCTGACTCAGGACCTCCCGCCCGCTCCAGACTTCCCCCAGGAGCTGCTGAGCCCGCAGAAAATCCCGCTTTATTAAGCATTAATTAGCAATAATCACCTTTTCCCTTGCTCTTTCCAGGCCCACACCTCCCACGCGAGATGGGGAATCACGGGAGGCTCCGCTGATGGTTTTTATTTTTAATTTTTTTTTTTTTTTCTGGCAGAGATGATTAAGAGAAACCCAGAGGATTTATAAAAACATCCCGCGGCAATGCGGGGAACCTCTGGGAGGAGATCTCGGGCACGGCCGGGACTTGTCAGCCCGATTAATGTAATTAAAATTTCATTATCCTCTGGAAATTTAATTTTTTTCTGACACTGAAGGGCCCAAATTCCCACTTTCCAAAATCACCCAGAACTTGTGACTGGGAGGAAACCGCCATCGGTGATTCCTGGAAATCAAACGGAATATCTGGGAGAGAAATGAGGAATCCCAGAGAGGTGGAATAACCCCAGGGCAGGGAGGTGCAGAAAATGATTTTTAATGGGCACGAGAAGCAGAACCAGCGCTCACAACAACACAAAATGAACACGGACACTTTTAATATCCCTAATTCCCACCAGACTTCCCGTTTTCCTCACAATTCAGCCCCTCATCCTTGGAACCGAACCCCGGGGAAGTTTTCACCGGGGACCAAAATTGCCTTTTTTTTTTTTTTTTTTTTTTTTTTTCTTTTTCTTTTTTTTTTTTTTTTTTTGGCTCCCCTCATATTCCAGTCTTAGGGCACGTAATGCAAATAAGAGTTGATTAACATTAAATTAACATTCCAGGTCCAGGCGTAATCCAGCCTGGGAGTGTTTGGGAAGCGTTCTGGCTCCCTTTGTTGTGCGGAAGCCCTGGGATATTTTGGGGCGGGGGTAATTGCGGGAATGACCCGGAATTCCAGCTCCAACGTGGCCATTAGGGAAGAATGAACCAAACATGGTCTTTAGGATAAAAACAGTGCCTGGAATGGCTCGGAATGGGATGAGCAGGGCACGCCTGGCATCCCAAACTGCCTGGAGGGATCCGCTGCTGGCACCGGCTCCTGGAATTTGGAGCTCCGGGTCCCTCCCTGTCACTGCCGAGAGGTGGAGAAGAGTCCTTGGAAAAGCAGTTCAGGAAAGTTTGGATGCAGAAATGTGGAAAACAGCTTGGGTTTGGCTCAGTTCCCTTTGTTTAGAGAGAAGAAAATCCCCAAACAGATCTGGGTATAAACAGGACACTAAAAATTCCCGTTTTGCTTCAATCTGAAGGTTTTATCCTGAAAAATGCAGAGCCAGGGTTTTTTAGGGATGAAATCTCTTATCCCAGAAATTTAACCCAAAATTTTACCTTTAGTCAAGTTTGGAGCAGTCCAGGAAGAGCCTGGAGGTTGCCTGTCCCTCTATCCAAGGCTGAGTGTCCCCAAGAGAGCCCAAGGAGGAGAGGAAAAAGGGAATTCGGAACGGGTTTGATGCAGCAGCATTTTAATGGGAATGCAAAGTGGAGTCGAACATTTGCAGAGAGAATAATGCAGACAAAGAGGAGCCGACTCCGAGAAAAGCCCAAAATCACCCAAAATCGAGATCACCCACTCCAGCCTGACTCCTTCCAGCCTGACACCCCTCCCCTCACACTTGCTGAGACCTTCCAATCCCTACCATTCCCCAAATCCCTCTGTTCCGATCCACGCTCGGTGTCGAACTGGGCAGAGAAAGTCCAAAGCACAGACAGAAGAGGCAAAACCCCAAGAAGAAAGAAAAGCCTGAACTAAACTAAAGCTCTATCCTAGACTTAAAACACAGGGTCCTGGTTTCCAGCGGCGCTTCCCTCTCCGGCAGCCTTCGGGTCACATTCCATATTCCTTCACTTTTCCCTCGTTCCTTTCCATGGTTCTTTCCCTCAAAAACCGCTCAGATCTTCTTGCAGAGGCCCCTCTGGCACGGGTGCTTCCAGCGGGTGGAGAAGGTGTAGGAGCGCTCGGGGACGCACTTGGTGGCACAGGGCGTGGCACAGGGCGTG